ATACAGTAGAGCGTCGATTTTCCGAAAGTCAATCATCCGAAAGAATTCCAGTCGGCAAATTTAAATTTTCGCCAGTGCTGTGGCGCTTCAATCTTTGGCTATGTCTTGGGCTACTCAAATATTTTACGTTTTTGATACTAAATTAACATCTGAAGTATAATTTTTTATTATTTTTATATTTTTCAATATATTTATTTTGTTTGTACAAAATAAAAAAATAATTTTTAACGATACAATAGTCTTTGTTAGGCTTAACATCGACGAAAATTCAAAGCGAAGCGACACGCAACGGATAAAAATTTTGACATCGGATACGTTAAACTATTTTTTCGTACGTAAATCAGTTATCCGAAATATCAGTTATCCGGACAACCCCAGTCCCCAATTGATTCGGAAAATCGACGCTCTACTGTAATTACTTTTAAAATCTTTAACATAAATTGTCTTTAAATTCGAATTTTCTAAGATAAAAATCTACATAAGCATATGCAACTTCAACATAAAACAGACTCAAATATAAGAAAGAAAATTAATTTTTCAAAATATGAATGCTAAAATGCAAAAATTTGAAGCTAATTTCAGCCTTGTTTTAAATTTGGAGGTATTTACAAATCAAATAACTAGTAATTGTTTAGACATCTCTTTCACATTTCAGTAATATTTGTGTAATGGATCTATTCATAATCCCAATAAATATAAATTTGCTTTTATTATTATTCTTATTTATTATGGCTGAACTAGAAATGTACTAGTTTACTGTATCATTTCTAATTGCTTGGAAGATTATTAAAAAATCAATCATTGTCAAAATAAAGTCTGTTTTATTCATCAAATAGTGTTCTTGTGTGATAAGTTCTACATAGCAATTTTTGCTTACTCCCAGGGAACAATCAAGTATTCTATACAAGTGTTTGTAATTTGTTTTGTTTTTTAACTTATTTTTGTATAAGAATCATAAAGAATCTAATAAATTATGTAGCAGCTATAGACAGAAAATCTTGGAAGAAAGTAAAACAGCTTATAAAATTAAGCTGTTTGTTTTACTAACTTTCTTCCAAGCAACTTTCCACAGTGTCACTTCTTCCTGTGTTTGTTATCCGAACATGTGTTTGCTGTCTGAACATAAAAAGCTTTCATGAAAGTATTCATTGTTCACAGTCCAAACTGTTTGTTAACCGATCACCCACTGTATTTGAAAACAAGTAGATTAACATGTTGATATATAGAGACTGAAAGTTTACAATTAATTAGAGTACAATCTACTGAGACATTGGCTGTGTTCAGCAGAGTCAACAGTTGAAACTAAACAAAGGTGTTTCAATTGATAGCTGTTACATAGTTACATCTGCTGAACAATGAGTGATGCGTGTGTTGGAGCAGGAAGCAGCCATCATTGGTCAATTGCAGCTAGCGATAGGTAGCTTAATGAAAGAAGATACTATATAAATGTGACGGTCAAAATATCAAACATGTTCTGAAACAGCACTACTGTAGAGGGCATTCAGCAGAAAGATTCTCAACAGCTCCAGAACTGTTGAGTCTGCTGAATGCAGCCATTGTCACAATAGAGAATCTAGTTCTGCTTGCCAGAGATGATTATTTTCTTTTAAATATTTTTTATATTTTTTTTATTTTGTATATAATAGACATTGTTGCAATTTGCCATATTATCTATTTTAGCCCATTGTAATCTCTTAATTTTGTCCCTAACTTGTATTTCATCCATTTTATTATGTAACATACTGTTAACCTAACCAGCTGTGCTCTGTGGTGCTGGTATTGTACTATGTACAACGACTAAAAATATTAAATTATTGAATTGAATTGCCAGAGATGATATCATTTTGTCTTAATGCATAACAAACAAGAATTTTATGGCAGGACTTCTTGTCAACAGGTCTACCATCAAGAACAAACTCATAATGCATCAATTTTTCATATCAAAAAATATTGAATGATTGTAATCAAGAAAAAATATACAAAATAGGCTTTTGAATGATTGTTAACGTATTAAAAGATATTAACTTAATAAAAGTTTTACAGTCAAATCTCAGTTTACAAACTTAATTCGTTCCTAAACGTTGTTCAGACACCAATTTGTTCTCACACCGAAACAATATAAAATGGATTAATCCATTTCCAACCACCAAAACAAAGCTTTTGTTTTTACATTTTCAGCTGTATTTTATGCATAGAAATGCCTACAAATGCAATATATTATTATATATAATATAATATTTATATATCTGTATCTCCATTATATATATATATCCTAGCTGTTACCCGCAACTTCGTCCGCGGAGGTTTTGCAAGCAAACCCCATTTACATTCAATATTTCAATAACTATAGTAATTGTTATATAACACCTACCGCTGAAGAGAATTGCTGAGAATCAAACGAACTATTTTCAATTTGATCAATTTTCTGGAACGTTTACAATCGTTCTATAATCGA